GCAGCAGTGAAAATCTTCATTGACGGAGGGGCAAGTCACAGCTTAGCTAATACTGCAACCGCACGGAGATTACAGTTAATACTTAACCGATGTTTACCTGAGATAGATGCACGCTTAGTCGACGGCACGCCATTGGCCATACGAGAAAAAGTGGAGCGAGTAAAAGTCCGCTGCGGGGGAAACTTCGGGTTTACACAGGAAATGCTCGCAACGACGCTGGATGGGCACCACATTTTACTGGGACGTGATTGGCTACGACGGTACAACCCACGGATTGACTGGACGACGAGGACCTGCACAGTGCGAAGTAGCGGTAACTGGGTCGTCCTACCTCGCTGGCGGCCACCCGAATCTTCGACAGTCCAGGTCAACGCCATCACGATGAAACGGGCTGTCGCTGCTGGAGCTGACGTGTACGCAGTGGATATCGCAGTGGTAGAAAAAGACGAGCAGCAGAATGATTTAAAGAAACTGCTAGCAACCGTACCGACCGAATTACAGGCACTACTGAAACGGTTCCCGGGGATATTTCCGGATGATTTACCACAGGGACTGCCACCTCAGCGAGCGCACGACCATAGGATCGAGCTAGAACCGGGGGCACAGCCAACAGTACAACGGCAATTTCGACTGACACAGCCCGAGCTCGACGAGTTAAGGAAGCAGTTAGATTACCTGTTAGAGAAGCAGTTTATTCGACCAAGCTCGTCACCGTTCGCCGCACCCATACTGTTCACACCGAAAAAAGACGGAGGTTTTCGCATGTGCATCGACTACCGAGCGCTTAACCGAGTTACAGTCAAATCGCGATACCCCATCCCCCGCGCCGACGAACTGATTGACCAACTGCGAACAGCACGTGTCTTTTCGAAAATAGATTTACGGGGAGGTTACCATCAGATTCGGATCGAACCATCGGACTGCGCAAAAACAGCATTTAGGACTAGGTACGGGTCATTCGAGTATACAGTAATGCCTTTCGGGTTGACGAACGCGCCTGCGACTTTTCAGATGACCATGAACGAGGCGTTTAGACCACTTTTAGATAAATGCGTGATCGTTTACCTCGACGATATCCTCGTTTACAGTCGGGATAAGCAGCAACACTTAGCAGATCTTGAAGCAGTTTTTAAGGTTTTAGAGGAACATCGGCTGCTCACCAAGGGCTCCAAGTGCGAGTTTTTAAGGGATAGGCTAGAGTTTTTAGGTCACGTCATTTCCGAGGCTGGGGTTGAGATCGACCCAAAGAAGCTGGATACGGTAAAAGCGTGGCGCCCCCCGACGAACATCACGGAACTGCAGAGTTTTTTAGGGTTTGTTAATTACGTTCGACGGTTCGTGCCCGACATGGCACGTTTAACAGCCCCACTAACTGATTTACTGCGTAAGGGGGTCGCTTTTACGTGGGGGGAGAAAGAGCATGCTGCCTTCTCTGCCCTAAAAAACGTCCTCTGTTCACCACCCGTTCTACGTATCGCTGATCCCCACCGCCCTTTCGAAGTGGTTACCGACGCAAGTGACATCGCCATCGGAGCTGTACTGTTACAGGACTTCGGCAACGGCCTCCAACCCATCGCCTACGAATCACGCAAACTACATCCGCCTGAGCGAAATTACCCGATACACGACCGCGAAATGCTCGCGATCGTGCATGCATTCAAAGTTTGGCGCTGCTACTTGACTGGCGCAGACGTGACAGTACGGACAGACCACCGATCTCTACAGTACCTCCGCGCACAGCCCCACCTCAACCCACGACAGATTCGATGGCTCGATTTCCTCGAGTCGAATTTTCACTATACGGTCACATACAAAAAAGGAGCATCGAATATCGCCGACGCACTGACCCGCCCCACTGCCCAGATCCACGCGATACTACTCGCCCAGACCAGCCCACTGCTTACCGGCCTATTTACCCACGGATATCAAACAGACCCGTTCTTTACAGGAGGCAACTCACAGCAATTCGCAGCGGCAAAAGGAGTCTATTACGTAAAAACTGGAACCGACCGCATCTGGGTACCGGGATACACGCTACTGCGGGAACTACTGTTACAGGAAGCACACGACGGAGTTACCTCGGGACATTTCGGGGTAGAAAAAACACGGCAGCAGCTGCAGCGGTACTACTACTCTCAGAATCCCAACCACTAGACCATTGGGATAAAAGGGCTTGTTTCAGTAGCGGGTCAGTGCGCCCATAACCCCCCAGGCAATCGTGCCTGTAACCCTTCCCTAGGATCGATCGGGGATCACCAGTGGACCTCTGACAACTACTGGCCAGAAATGTTGACCGATGTGCAACGACACGTGGCATCGTGTCCCACTTGCCAGCTCATGAAGTCAAGCAGGAAGCGACCAGCGGGGCAATTACAACCCATCCCGCCTCCAGAGCGTGCTTGGCAGCAGGTGACGATGGACTTCGTCACGGGGTTACCAACCGGGGCGAGTGGGAATGACGCGATCCTGGTCGTCGTCGATCGACTAACGAAAATGGCTCATTTCGCAGCATGCAGGAAATCCATCACAGCCGAAGAAACCGCCCGACTATTCATCGCCACCGTCGTACGACTGCACGGGATACCCGCGTCGATCATCAGCGACAGGGACACGAAATTTACCAGCAACTTCTGGCGGAACCTGTGGCAGCAGTTCGGCACGCGCTTACAGTTCAGTTCATCCTATCACCCCGAAACCGACGGACAGACGGAACGGACAAATCAGACCATGGAGCAGCTGATTCGAGCCACGTGCGACGACCCGAATACGTGGGAGCAGCAGCTGCCACTCATCGAGTTCGCATACAATAACGCACCATCAGCCACGACGCAACAGTCGCCGTTTTATTTGAATTACGGACAGGACCCAACAGTACCCATGACACCGAATCCCGACAACCCAGTCCCACGAGCACAACAGTCCGCCGAGATTCTGCAAGCAGCACGGACCAGGGCAGCAGAAGCAATCAAAAAATCAAACATCATCGCTAATTGTAACGCCGATCGACATCGCAGACCCGTTACTTATCAGCCCGACGACCTTGTATTACTCGACACTCAGAATCTTCGCCTGCCCATCACTCCAAAACTTCGCCCCCGGTATTGTGGGCCATTCCGCATCAGCCACATGATCACACCCGTCACCGCCCACCTCCTCCTCCCTGCTGACTGGTACGTCAGCCCGTCATTCCACGTCAGCCTACTTCGCCCTTACAGCCCATCCACGAGCCAACTGCCACGAAATCGCCCAGCCAGCATGACACGTCCCCCAACCGAACCACTCATCACCCCTGAGAAAATCCTCAGCCACCGAGTCCGCGACCCTCGGGGAGCCCGAAGGATAGAGTTCCTAATTCGCTGGAAGGACCGAACGCCCACAGAAGACAACTGGGTCCCCCTGGATAAAATTGAGAACCACCCTGTCTTCCCTGAGTATCTGCGAAGCCGAAATTTCCGCGACATCCATGCGCTCTCGTAAGAGGGGCCTCCTTTGGGAGGGGGGTAGTGTAAGGAAATTCCCTTTTCCTTACTTCGCGTCCCTGCTCAACGCGTACGCCACTGTAGCACCTCAGTCAGCACCGTTACCACTCACGACCATCGCATCATTCATTATCCCGCCCTCTTCGCACATCGCATCCCGACCTCACGGCTCGGCTGGTAACCCGCGCTCCGGGCCTACGCTTCGACACTTTCCCAACCTCAGCCCCAGGCTCGTCGCGCGACAACCACAGTCCATTACCGTTACCACTATTGTTTCGCTATATAATCCTTCGCTCATGCCTTCGCTCATTGTACTCTTTGCTTCGATAGTGCAATTCTCGTTCGTTCACTCAATTGCACTCGTAACAACAACCCATAACATACCCAATATTGAACCCACCTCAACCAGCGTCGCACATTCGTGCGTGCGGCAGATTGAGCGGCTTGAAATACCGTTCGTGATAGGTCGCTCGCTTGCGACAAACTTCCACGGCATATTCGCCGTGCGCAAACGGATGGGTCAGGTCAGGTCAGGTCAGGACTCCGGCCCGGTCAGGAGGAGGACCTTGGCAGAAGCTAGTGGTGCACATTTACTGCGCGCACCGGAAGCGAGGGGCGCAGGCGTAGGGCAGTCTTGCGCGCCGAGCTGGCGGAAATGGAGGTGCTTTTTGGCGCCAACCAGCCTCGAGGGTCGAGGGGGGTCGTTCTTCCGCAACCTCGATTTCGTCCTTCCGCCACCAGCCCAACGCGTGGAGGTATGGGTGGGTGGTTGGGGAAAGGGAGAGTGGAGAAGCAGTGAAAGAGGCTTGGGAGGGGAAGCTGAGACATGTGTTCCTTTTGGGACTCGTTGGGACTACCTGCCACGGTACTCCACCAAGCGAAAGCTCGGCACGAGTAAAACTTATTTGCGTAGTGATTAGTAGTTGTGTTTTGACTGCCAGCTGCATGAGAGGAATGCCCTGACAAGGCGTTCCGTGTTTGCGACGTCCTTGACCTGTTGTAATACGGACCGCACACGCTGACGGACGGCAAGCCAGCTCCTTTTAACACGGTCGCCTCGTACTGAGACTCTCGTGCAGCTCGTCGCCATGTCTTCGTCGTATCAAAGGTTAAAAATTAAGCTTTGGAAACTTCCTGGGCTCTTCTGGCGCTAGCTTTCGCTCTCATCGATTCGAGGAGTATCGTTGTGGTAAAAAATACATCACATTTATATTAGCCTTTAACCAGCCCATATCGCACGTTCTCGACTTAATTTCTCAACGCAGCTCACTGTCAACGACAATGGGAGACACGCTAGGAGCTATTGTCGAGTACTTAGAACGGAATAAGTTTCTCTCAGCGGCAGCAGCCCTACGCTCCGAAATTTCCAACAAGAAGCAGCCAAGACCCAACACTCTTGCCTCGAGCCACTCGCTTCCACCGCTCTCTCCGTTCTCTCCCTACCCAGGCTCCCCCTCCCTCCCGCCTCCCGATGCCTCTGATAATGACGTCAACATGTTCCTCTGGATGAAGCACGAACAGATGTTCTCCAACTCAGCCTCGACACCAGGTTCGGGATCAGGTTCGGGCTCAGGCTCGGCAGGCGGAGGGATATTCGGCGCGGCATTCTCCGGTTCGGGTCTCTCGGGCCCGGCGGATGGCACCGGCGGAGATGCGGGCGGTAGCGGGACTGGCGGCGGGTTCTCGGGGTTCCACCCGATCGCGCGAGGCAACAGCGCGCCGCCGCAGTTCCTTCAAAACGCCATGCTGAAATGGTCTCCGCCCAGTTCTCCCCCCGCCGGAGGTATGTTCGACCCCGCGCCAGCGGCGGAGGCCTCTAAGCCGCCGCGCGCGGGGGGAAGCGAGCACCCGTTCTCCCCGTCGTTCTTCCCCACGTCCCCCTCGCTGCCTTCCCCCGCGTCGCTCGACGTCGTCCCCGAGGAGGACGTCTTTCTGGGCGCCGAGGACGCGGACTCTGCGCCGGCGATAGCGGAGGCGGCGGAGGCGGAGAAGGCGGGCGGAGGAACGAGAGATGGTAAGAATAACGGAGAGGGTAATAACGAGGATAATGCGAGCAGTGCAGCGGCTTCTGCGACTGCGGTTATTCCTTTACTCGACGATGGAGATGCTGTGTTCTTCGGTACGCCGGCGAAGCAGCCGCCCGTCCCGCTGCCCATCGAAGAGCCTGTTCTCTTCGGCGAGGTGACTACGACGGACCCATTTCGAGGTTCCCTAGAAGCAGCTGCGGCCGCCGCGGCCGCCGCAGCGGCCGCCGCAACAGGCGGCGGGAAAGGCGCATTAGGTGTCTTGGACGCGGAAATGCCGCCTAGGATCGGGTCGACGCCGCGCAGCAATAGCTCCCGGCCGTATGACGTCAACAGCAGCAGCGGAGAAGAGACTCCGCCCAGCGGAATAGCGAAGAGCAGCAGCGCTGGCGGGACCTTCGCGGGGGACAAGGAAGGGGGAGGATTCGGGGAAGAGCTTGACTTTTCCTGCGGGCTTGGCGGGGTCGGGGGAGGCGGGGGGGGCGGGGGGGGGCGGAGGGGAGAATGCAAGCGCAGGCGGAGACGCCTCCCCCGGGCTGTTTGACCAGGCGTTTGCTAACTCGAGCAATAACAGCACACCGCGCGGGTCAGTAGATATGACGGGCAGTGGGGAAGTGTTTTCTGTTGGCGATGGGGCGGAAGGAAAGGACACGTTAGGGCCCCGCCATGGGAGCACGGGGCACGGCGCATCACCATCAATGGGGGGAGCGGGCGGAATGGGGGGAGGCGCAGGGGCAGGAGGCGCAGGGGCGGGAGGGGCGGGAGACGCTGCGTCGGTGCTGGCAGGGTGGGGGTTGTTGTCAGCAGGGGGCAGCGGGTCGTTCGGCGCGACTGGCGCTTTAAAGAGCCCTAACTCGTTCGGAGGGACCTCGCACGCTACTAACCCTGCTGAAGCTGCCAAGCCTCTCGTTCGGGCTTCCTCCGTGCCTACCATCACGTTCGGACCTGTCGTTGTAGGTTCGGAGGTGGTTCCGAGCCTGAACCCCGTGCCGCTGGGAACGCGCAAGCCCCGCCCGCCAATCAGCCACGCGTCCCTGCCGTCTAACCAGCAGCAGCCGCCGTTGCCGAGCCTGCAGCGCTCGCCCGGTAGCGGAAGCTCGGGCGGAGGTTCGGAAAAGAGGTTCGGCATGGGGAGGCATGGGATGAGCGGCCTAAGCAGGGGGAGCCCCCCCGCGAAAGTAGGAAGGGAGGCGGGAAAAGGGGGAGTGTATGTTGTGGGCGGGTATTTGCTGTCTACTCTTTTAATGATTAAAGGAGCGGATGATAACGAGGATATGTATGAGGACGAGGAGGATTTGGGGTATGTGAGGCGGGCAGTGGGGAACGAGGAGCAGTTTATGCTAATAGAGGCGGATCCGGGGGATGATCCCGAGGACGCGGAGGAGGCGGAGGGCACGGTGGGCGGAAAGGGGGAAGGTGAGGGGAAAGCTGGAGAGGGGAAGGGGGGGCAAGGCAGCGCGGGGGGGGACGGGGAAGGGAAGGGGAGCAAGGGGAAGGAAGCGGGGAAGAGTGGGAAAGAGGGGAAGCGGGATTCGGAAGGGGGGGATGAGGAGATGTATTTTTCAGGGGAGGACTCGTATCAAGAAGCAGAGGGGGGGGAGGAAGGGGCGGAGGGAGGCGGGGGAAGCGAGGCGGAAGGCGCTGCGGGGGGAAAAGGGCACCGATCGGTTCCGAGCTTTGGAGTGGTGGATGCGTGGGATGGGATGTTCGACAAGGGGGGGGCGGAGGGAACGAACGGCGCGCGGAACGGGGGAGGAGCGGAGGGGAGGGGCGCAGGCGCAGGGGCGCGGCAGAAGCGGCAGGGCGGAAAGGGGCAGCTGAGCGGGCAGCTAGAGGAGGGCGAAGAGGGGGAAGGGGACGAGGACGAGGGGGAGGAGGGGGAGGAGGGCGAGGAGGGGGAGTTTTACGAGGGGCAATCTGTGGGCGCGGATGCGGGGAGCTCTATGCTGGGGTCTGTGCAAGACCTGGATGAGGACTGCGCGCACCCCACCCCCACCGGCTCCCGCCCCCGCCTTGGCGTTCTCAGTGACGAGGAGGCGGAGGGGGAGGCGGAGGGGGAAGGAGAAGACGCGCTGGGGAAGGGGATGAGGGAGAGGGCGGAGGGAGGGGGGAAAACGGAGGGAGGTAGGGCGGATGGGGTGGAGATAGAGATGGGGGACGGGGGGGGGCGCGGGGGCGGGGGAGAAGGAGGAGGGCGCGGAGGGTCCGCGGAAGCGGCGCAGCTGGAAGGGCGGAGACGTGGGGAGTGCGTCGTTTGGGATTGTGGACGAGGTGACAGGTGCGAGGGGCACAGGCACAGGCGCAGGCACAGGGCTGTTTGTGTCTACCGCAGCAGCAGCAGCAGGAACAGGACAGGGCGGCGCTGCTGGGGCCGCCAGTGCCGCTGCTGATGCTGCTGCTGGGGGCAGCGGCGGGTTTGGTGACTCCTTCTCAGGCGGATTCTCCTTCCCCTCGCCGTCCAGTGAAGGCCTTTCCAGGGAAGGTTCTGGGTGGTCGGGAGGCGGCGGGACGCCTGGGGGGGACGCGGTCAATATCAGCCCTTCGGACACTCTGGGCGGAGGGGGGAGCGGAGCGGGGCGAGGGGGAGCGGGAGGGGGCGCGGGGGAAGCCGGGGGGCTGGCGGATGAGCTGGCGAGCGGGCTGGAGCGGATGGGGAGCGTGGCGGATAGTACCCTGGAGGTATGGAAGCGGCAGGCTAGTGGCACATTCGCTAAAGTCACTGCCATGGACTGGGATCCCCCCGCTGCTGCTGCTGCCACTGGGGGAGTTACTGCTGGTGGGGCTGGCGCGGGTGGGGAGGAGAAGAGGGCGAAGAGTGGGGGGAAGAAGGAGGAAGAGGATGCGGAGGCAGGCGGCAGGGGCGGTGATGACATGCAAACGGACGGGGATGTGGCTGTGAAAGGCAGTGGGGGGAGTAAGAAGGGGAAGGGGAAAGGGAAGGGGGCGAAGGCGGAGGAGGAGGGGAAGGATGGGGCGGGAAAGAAGGGGGATGAGGGCGAGGAGGAAGCGGGAGAGAAGGGGGAGGGCGAGGTGGAGGGGACGAAGAAAGGAGCGGAGGGGAAGGAGAAGGCGGGAGGGGGTGGCGAGGAGAAGGAGGAGTTTGAGATCTTCAACCTGCGTGTCATTCACCGCAAGAACAGGTGCGTGCGCATGGGGTGGCCACAGATGAGTGCTTGGGTCGCGGGTGGTTGGGAAGTGCAGGTTTGGGAGATAAGGAGTTCCTCGTCTCCCCCTCTCGTTCTCCCCCTCCTACCCCCCTCCCCGCCCCCCCTCTTTCACCATCCCCCTCTCCATCTCTCCCTCCATGGTTCCCCTCTCTCCTCACAACACACAGATGGGCTCAGCAGCCTTCAACGCCATGCATACCAAGCGCATGGAGACCAAACGCTCTTCCCCTTCCTTGTATGTCCCCCACATCCCCACCAGAACGGGGTTTGAGGAGGAGAAGGACTTCCCAGTGGTGCTCAACTCGGTCATCGCAGGGCGCTACTACGTGACAGAGTACCTGGGGTCAGCGGCCTTCAGCAAGGCGATCCAAGCTCATGATCTGCACACGGGCATGGACGTGTGCATGAAGATCATCAAGAACAACAAAGACTTCTTTGACCAGAGCCTGGACGAGATCAAGCTGCTCAAGTTCATCAACCGGCATGATCCGGCAGACGAGCATCACCTGCTGCGGCTTTATGATTACTTCTACCACCGGGTGAGTTGGGGAGGGAAGGTTCATGGAGGGAGCGAGCGAGAGAGTGAGGGAGTGAGGGAGTGAGTGAGAGAGTGAGTGAGCGAGCGAATGAGTGAGTGCGGGAGTGTGCATGAAGATCATAAAGAACAACAAAGACTTCTTTGACCAGAGCCTGGACGAGATCAAGCTGCTCAAGTTCATCAACCGGCACGACCCCGCGGACGAGCATCATTTGCTGCGGCTCTACGATTACTTCTACCACCGGGTGAGTCGGGGAGGGAGGGTAGGATGGAGGGAGCGAGCGAGGGGGTGGAGGAGTGAGTGTGTGAGTGAGCAAGTGAGTTGGAAGATCATAAATAACAACAAGGACTTCTTTGATCAGAAGTTAGATGAGATCAAGCTGTTGAAGTTTATTGATAGGCACGACCCGGCAGACGAGCATCATTTGCTGCGCCTCTACGACTACTTCTACCATAGGGTGAGTTGGGGAGGGAGGGAGTGAGTGGATGGGCGAGAGAGTGAGTGAGTGAGTTGGAAGATCATAAAGAACAACAAGGACTTCTCCGATCAGAGCCTGGACGAGATCAAGTTGTTGAAGTTTATCAACCGCCATGACCCCGCGGAGGAGCTTCATTTGTTGCGGCTGTACGACTACTCTACCACCGGGTGAGGGTGTGAGGGTGGGTGGGTGAGTGAGTGAATCAGTGAGCGAGTGTGTTTGTGGTAGCGTGGGTGGGTGAGAGTGTGGGTGAGTGAGTGAGTGTGTGTGTGGTGGGTGAGTGGGTGGGTGAGTGTTTGTGTGGGTGAGTGTGTGTGTGCATGCGTCCAAAGGTACGACCCCGCAGACGAGCACCACCTGCCACCGATTGAGTGTGCGTGCTGGAACTTGTCTAGATTTTTTGGAAGCAATTTAAGTGAGTATGTTAGCAAACAACCCTGAACCTTGTTTCGCCAGTATTCACCCTTAACTGAGGCCTTTCACTTTGGCTTCTCCCTTTCACTTTTACACCCCCACCCCACCCCTCACCTCACTGTCAGGAGCACCTGTTCATAATATGCGAGCTGTTGCGTGCCAACCTCTCGAGTTCCCTTCTCAACCCCCCCCCCCTTGGTCCTCCTCTCCTCCCCTTTTCTCCCTGCTCCTGCCCCCATTCCCCACCCACCCCCATCAGGAGCACCTGTTCATCATATGTGAGCTACTGCGTGCCAACCTGTACGAGTTCCACAAGTACAACCGCGAGTCGGGCGGCGAGGCCTACTTCAACATGCCTCGCATCCAGGTGCGTGCCACGTCAGCGCATTCAGGTGCATGCCACGTCGGCGTATCCAGGGACTGGGGCTCATCCACTGCTTTGCAACCTGAAGCCCCTTGCATCCCGTCGTCCACTTCCCCCATGGGCCTTGCTCCCCAACGCTCCCCTCTTTCAGTCCATAGCCAAGCAAATCCTGGAAGCACCACGCTTCATGCCGTCACTGCGACTCATCTCACCCACTGCGACCTCAAGCCTGAACATACCCATCAAGAGCTACTCGCGGTGCTCCAATCTCACTTTTCACTCCCACTCCCATCCCATCTTTATTGCTCCCTATCCACACCCCTCCCGCTCCCCCACTCCCTCCATCCCCTTGCATGCACTAGTCCATAGCCAAGCAGATCCTGCAGGCCCTGCGCTTCATGCACTCCCTCGGGCTGATCCACTGCGACTTAAAGCCCGAGAACATCCTGATCAAGAGCTACTCGCGGTGCCTGGTGAAGGTGATCGACATCGGCAGCAGCTGCTTCACAACGGACCACCTGTGCTCGTACGTGCAGTCGCGCTCGTACCGCGCGCCCGAGGTCATCCTGGGGCTGCCCTACGGGCCCAAGATCGACATCTGGTCCCTCGGCTGCATCCTCGCTGAACTCTGCTCCGGACAGGTGAGCAGGGGGAAGAGGAGGGGGGAGAAGATGGGGGGGGGGGGGGGTTGGGGGAGAGGGTGGGAGGGGAGGAGCAGGAAGTGGGTGGTTGAGGACGTTGGGGACATGGGGAAGCAGGTGCGTCAGCACAGGGAGCCACGCTCATACTGCTTGTATGGGACATATTCTTCCCCCAACGTACCGGGCTCTATGCTCGTATGGTGCGCTCCTTTTTCCCACTTGTTCTTCAATCGTGTGGCCGTGGTTGTTCCCCTGCGTTGTGTGTGTCCGATCATGTGTGTGTGTGCTAGCAGGTGCTGTTTCAGAACGACTCGCTGGCGACACTGTTGGCGCGGGTGGTGGGCATCATCGGCCCCATCGACCCGCGCCTGCTGCGCAAGGCCCGCGACCGCCACAAGTACTTCACCAAGCGCAACGTGCTCTACGAACGCAACCCGGTTAGTGTGTGATGGGGGTACTGTGTGGTGTGGCATTGTGCAATGCAGTGCAGTGGGGTGCTGTGCGGTGTGTGCTCGCATGTGGTATGCCGCTGTGCTGTGCTGCGCAAGGCCCGCGACTGCCACAAGTACTTCACCAAACGCAACGTGCTCCATGAACGCAACCCGGTCAGTGGTGCTGTGCGGTGCAGTGTGGTGTATCATGGGCCTGTCAGTTCCTGTGTTATGGTGTGGTGTGGTGTGGGGTGCTGTATGGTGCTGTGTGATGCTCTGCTGTATCGTACTTCACACCAGTTCACCATCTCCAAACCCCCCATTCACTCTACCCCCCTCCCCACACCTCCCCTTTTTCAAGGAAATCAAGCAGCTGAAGCCGCTAGACCCTTTCACCTCCACCCCTTCCCCAATCTTGGCACACATTAATCAGAACAGCTGGTTTAGTCGAGGCAGTCAAGTTTAGATGTTGCCCCTATCATACTCTCCCTCCCCTTCCCTTCCCTCCTTCCCCTTTTTCCCCTTTTCCCATCCACAGGAGCTGGAGCAGCTGCAGTATCTGGTACCCAAGAAGATCTCCCCGCAGCACCGTCTGCAGCAGGGAAAGCGAGACCCTGATGTCCCCAACCATAACATCTCCTCTCCCCTTTCCCGCTTCCCTCCCCCTTCCCCTTCTCGTTTCCACCACAGGAGACGGAGCAGCTGGAGTATCTGGTCCCCAAGAAGACCTCCCTGCAGCATCAGCGGCAACAGGGCAAGTGACTCTGGTAGCCCCGACCATAACATGTCTTCTTTTCATTTCCCTCTTCTCCCCTCTCCCCCCTTTCCCCGCCACAGGAGACGGAGCAGCTGGAGTATCTGGTGCCAAAGAAGACATCGCTGCAGCACCGCCTGCAGCAGGGCGACCCGGGGTTTGTGCAGTTTGTGGCGTCGCTGCTCCAGGTGGATCCGGAAAAACGGCCCACCGCCGCCCAGGCCCTCTCTGCAGCACCGCATGCAGCAGGGCGGCGAAGCGACCGTGATTGCCCCTACCATAAAATCCGCTTTCAATTCCCGTTTCCCTCACCTTCCCCCTCCCCGCCTCTCCGCCACAGGAGACGGAGCAGCTGGAGTATCTGGTGCCAAAGAAGACCTCCCTGCAGCACCGCCTGCAGCAGGGCGATGCGGGGTTTGTGCAGTTTGTGGCATCGCTGCTGCAGGTGGATCCCGACAAACGCCCCACTGCCGCCCAGGCCCTCAAACACCCCTGGCTCTCCCACCCCTATGACCCCATCACATGACCATAGCACCCCTGTGACTAAAGCCATGTGGTAACTGTAACCATGACACGTTTTTTTCTCGAAAAGCTCACATTTACCGTAGTGTGATGGTGACATAACTCGATGGCACGTGTACGGTACTTGGTGCTCCACGATCTGGTTGCTAGATGTTACCGTAACAGCAAAGCGAGTGTGAGCCGTAAATAAGATGTCTCAGAAAGTGACTGGGATGGGAGCTTACCCAACCCAACCCAAGCCTTTTGGGCTCTGTGTGCCAGACCAGACAGCTCTCGTTAGTTCTGCTCTGTGCTGCTTATTGTGGCCCTTCTGTGCCCCAGGGGCTAGGGTAGTAGGGTCTTGTCATCGTGTGAGCAATATTATTACTACGATGTATCATCTCGAAGAACTTGTGCGAGTATGGTTTGATTTTAGAAAGCTTGCTTTCTTGTTGTAGGAATGGCATCGTCTCATTTCAAATGGGCATCTTCTCATTTCAAATGGCATCGTACAGACATGTCTAAGCTAGCATGCAATTATTCTAAAGCAATCAACTACCCATAATTGGTCCCAGTTCTATGGGGTGGGTGGGCGGGAAACTTGGCTGAGCCGTTTGAAAATGAAAGACGTGGGTGGAGGGAAATGACCTCCAGCCCACGTTTTGTACTCCAAAACGGGCGTTTAGCGCGGTTCGCCGATGACCATTGCTACATTACAAGCCGCTTCGCTTTCAAAATACAAAATTTTGAAAAGCGTTACAACTTTTAAAAATATTCATATTTCTGGAAAACATGGCAAGTGCTAAGGACAGAGTACAACTTTCTCAACAAAAAAGGGTAAAACCCCCCCCATGGCCAAGGTGCTTGAGGTACCGTATTCACCCGGATATACCCCCAGGTGGGGGTGTAAAAAAACATGGAAAAATGGTGGGTGGGCTTATAATGTGGTAAATTTTATAACCCCATGGGCTAAATAAATGACACTTATGGAAATTTAATTTTATAACACTGGAATGTGGATTTCACCCTGGCGATTTAAATCGATGCTAACACAAAGAGGTTCCATGCTGAAAAGTTCCGAGAATGTGTCGTACAGTCAAGAATCCCAGTCAGCACCAGTCAAATGTTGCAGATTTCGCGCACGTGCACCTCCTGTGGAAATTTTGCCAAGCGAGCCAGGGGGGAATTCGTCATGCACGTCTGTGACGATTCGTTTAGGTGCGTTAGTGGCGATTTCGCTTTAAAAAAAAGCAGAATTCATTGGGTGCGCTTATACAAAGATTGACAGAAATTGGGGTGGGCTTATAATCGGCAACTGGCTATAAGCCCACTAGTACGATTATAACCGCATGGGTGTAACATAGGCCTGGGGGTATATCCGGGTGAATACGGTACGGTACAAACGGTCCAAATGAAGGGAACATTCCATTATGATCCTAGGGGAATGGGGGTTCTAACTTTGAATCTAAGCAAGGTTCAGTGCAGTGTAGAGGAACTACGGTAGAACTTGCAATAGAACAGCATATGCTGGCAAATCAAGTACCAGTATCATAATTGCAAAACAAGTTAGTAGTTACCTACTTGCAAAACAAGTTAGTAGTTACCTACTTGCAAAACAAGTTACACTGCACATCAACATGCGACAGATTCAGCCCGAGCAGCCTCTACCAAATACCTAGCGAGCCGAGTTGCCTGCCATGCCGTCCCAAGGCCCTTACAAGCGGCCTGAACAATGAATAAACACCGTGGGCATGCATGTGCTGTGAGAGGTCACCATGGCACAAAACAAGACAGGCTTGCCAGCTCATGCGCAGCTGTGAGAGCACGCGGGTCACTTGCAGCAGTGCTGGCGAATCCAGGGATGCTCTGCAGGGGAGGAGAGGCAAGGAGAGGCGGGAGCGAGTAGACCAGCGGCACAGAGAGGCAAGAGTCAAAAGGCCAGTGACAAGGAGGCCAGATATGGTCACATGGCAAGCAGAGTGATATGCGGCACATGCCCCTTCAAGTCGATCACTGAATAGACCTCTTATCCACCAGACCTATCACTCACCCACCACCGTGCCTACCACTCGCCGAGCACTTGCAGCGCGGAGATTCGTTTCTCCAGGTCCTTCATCAGCGCCCGCACTACCACATCCCTCGCCAAGCCTACCACCCACCCATCACCGAGCCTACCACCCACCCATCACCGAGCCTACCACCCACCACCCATCACCGAGCCTACCACCCACCCATCACCGAGCCTACCACCCACCCATCACCGAGCCTACCACCCACCCATCACCGAGCCTACCACCCACCCACCACCGAGCCTACCACCCACCCATCACCGAGCCTACCACCCACCCATCACCGAGCCTACCACCCACCCACCACCGAGCCTACCACCCACCACCCGTCACCGAGCCTACCACCCACCCATCACCGAGCCTACCACCCACCCATCACCGAGCCTACCACCCACCCATCACCGAGCCTACCACCCACCCACCACCGAGCCTACCACCCACCCATCACCGAGCCTACCACCCACCCATCACCGAGCCTACCACCCACCCATCACCGAGCCTACCACCCACCCATCACCGAGCCTACCACCCACCCATCACCGAACCTACCACCCACACCCACCCATCCACCACCGAGCCTACCACTCACCAAGCACTTGCAGTGCGGAAATCCTCTCGTTGGGGTCCCTCGTGAGCATCCTCGCCATGAGGTCCCTTGCCAGCCAGGTCTCCCACCCACCCACCACACACCCATCTCCTACCCTACCACTCATCCACCCATCACCGACTATACCACTCACCAAGCACTTGCAAGGCGGAAATCCTCTTGTCAGGGTCCCTCGTCAGCATCCTCGCCACCAGGTCCTTTGCCGCCCCGGACACCGCCGCCCACCGGAAATGCCCGAACCGCAGCGGCTGGCGCAGCACGGCATCTTCTGTGGAGCGCCCCTCACGGTGGGACGGCCAGAAGGGGAGCACCCCTGAGAGCATGACGAAGAGCACCACCCCCGCACTCCACACGTCCACCTGTGGGGAGTAGCGCCCGCCTGAGAGCACCTCTGGTGCCATGTACTCTGTCGTGCCCGCCGTGTGCCTGCACATGCCGTCTGGTGGGTGATGTGGGGTGGGATGGAGTGGGGTTGGGTGGAGTGGGGTTGGGTTGGGTAGGGTGGAGTTGGGAGTTGGGAATCCCCGCGCTCCACACGTCCACCTGAGGGGAGTAATGGACCCCTGAGAGCACCTCTGGTGCCATGTACTCTGTCGTGGCTGCCATGTGCCTGCACATGCCGTCTGGTGGGTGGAGGGGTGTTGGGTGGGGGTGGCATGGAGTGGGGTGGAGATGGAGGTTGATCACTGCGAAGCACACATGCTTCCACTCCAACAGAGGTCGTTACAGCAGATCCACATGTTGTGACATGATGGGGGGCCGAATGCATGACGTGTGATACGTTGGGTGGGTGGTAACAGAAAGTGCAGCACAAGATAGCGATTAGAAATGAACGAGGCAGGGGAGGGGAGGCTGGGCAGGGAAGTGATTCACGGAGCAGTTGAAGATTGGCACAAGCAAGGGATCCAGGCCAAAACCGTGGCACCCGAGAGGTTTCCCTGCGCACCATGATCGAGGAACGCAGCCACGCCAAAGTCGATGAGCTTGATGTGCAGATCGCACTCCCCTCTGTCAAGAAACGATCCCGTGCTGCCTGTGCCCCCCACCGTGGCTCCTCTGTTCCACAGTGAACCCAGGTGATCGGCAACGTCCTCATCAACCAGCTGATTGCCGTGGCTCCCCTCTCCTCCTCCACCTGCTGAGCTCATCGCGCTCATGACCCCGCTCCCCATGCTGGCCGTGCGGCGCGCGGCAGCGGAGGACGAGGAGACGAGGAGGATGTTTTCGGGCTTCACGTCGCGGTGGACGATGCCCGTGGCGTGGCAGTGCAGCAGCGCTCCCACCAGCTGCTGCAGCAGCCGCGCCGCTAGCGGCTCGGGGAGGTGCTTTCTGGCCTTGACTGCGTCGAATAGATCGCCGCCCGAACAGAGATCCATGATGAGATGGATAGACTGGATGTGAGAGGGAAGGGGGGCGGTGGGGGGAGAGGGGAAAGCGAGGGAGATAGAATGGAGTGAAAAAAGAGATGATGAATTGGGGTGAGAAGACTGAGTGCACACGGGATGGCTATTCTTCGAATAGAAATGTTCCGGTGACTCACTCACCTTGGGATCTCCGCCAACTCACCTTGGGATCTCCGCCAACTCACCTTGGGATCTCTGCCAACTCACCTTGGGATCTCTGCCAACTCACCTTGGGATCTCTGCCAACTCACCTTAGGATCTCCGCCAACTCACCTTGGGATCTCCGCCAACTCACCTTGGGATCTCCGCCAACTCACCTTGGGATCTCCGCCAACTCACCTTGGGATCTCCGCCAACTCACCCTTGGGATCTCCGCCAACTCACCTTGGGATCTCCGCCCACTGACCTTGGGATCTTCCAGGACCTCCTTGAGCCCAATGATGTGCGGATGGCCCTTGAGCATGTGCAGCATCACCACCTCACCTTAGAAAATCCTGCTAACCGGCCTTGAAATCTCCACCCCCTTACCTCGGGATTCCCGCCGCCTCACCTTGGGATCTTCCAGGACTTCCTTCAGACCAATGATGTGCGGGTGGCCCTTGAGCATGTGCAGCATCACCACCTCCTGCCGCACATCCCCTGCATCCTCCAAGCACTGCAGCTTCTTCTTCGAGATGGACTTGCACGCGTACGTGCGGCGCGAGCTCCGCTCCACACACGTGTGGATGCGGCCGAACATGCCCTCGCCTATTCGCCCCCTCACCACATGGTACCGCCTCTGCACCGCCTCATATGGCATGCCCAACACGCACTCCCTGAAACTGCTTTCCGCATCGCCATTGCCATCGCCATTACCGCCACCACTGTTACCTGCATTGTCACCAACGCCACTAGCAGCAGCAGCAGCAGCTGCTGCAGAAAAACCACCACCGCCAGTGCCACCAGCAGCAGCAGCAGAAACAGCAGCACTAGCAGAGGCAGCAGTCATTCCTTTCGCCAGCCACACCCGCCACTCTTTCTCCGCACCCCCACCCTCTGCTCCTGCCAACCCCGACCAGCTCTCCCCACCTTCCCACCCCCCTTCCTCTCCCCCTTCCCCCTCCTCATCCCCCTCCTCATCCCCCTCCTCCTCCTCATCCCACTTCCTCCCATTCCTAGCGCCACCAATCCCAAGCCCATTTCTCCGGGGAGAGAACCCAACTCTCGACCCCAGCCGCCCAAAGCCCACTCTTCCCGCGCCACCCAACGCCCCCTCCTCCTCCCCTCGTCCAGCAACACAGTCCAGAGGGCTCGTGCATGACCCAGACTTGACTCGGGTCATTCTGCCGCTTCTCTGGCGGCGTTGACTTTCTTGACTTCCTCGGCCGCGTTGACTTCCTTGACTGCCTTGGCTGCAGTACTTACTGGAGCGAGCAATGCGAGGGAGCGGGCCAGATAACGACCCCGCAGCAGGTGGCGCAGCAGCAGCAGCAGCAGCAGCAGCAGCAGCAAAAGCAGCACCTGCAGCTGCACCACCAGCAGCAGTATCAGTGTCACCGTGCGCGTTGATACTGGTGCTGAGCATCGTGGCGTTTTCACAAGCAAACGTGCCGCCCGCACGTGCATGAGCATTCGCGTGAGCATCAGCATGTGCGAGGGCAGTGCGGAAGGCCGCGAGGGTGGAGGAGGAGGAGGAAGAGGAGGCGAGAGAGTGGCGCAGCAGGTGGCATGACGTCAGCAGGGCCTCCATCTCATTCTCCCTCTCACTCCTACCACCACCGCCGCCACCTTTGCTCCCACTGCCACCACTGCTGCCCCCACCCATGCTGATGTCGCTGGGCCCCCCGCTGCTGCTGCTTCGGATCAGCTCACGCCAACCGCGCCACTGCTGCCCGCCCCGGCCCCACCCCATGCTCTCGTGCAATGCCTTCTGCTCCCAGGCATCGTTACTCTCGTTATAGTCACCATCGCCCTGCTCCTGATACAAGCCACCTCTCCTGCTCCCGCTCTCCACGTCTGCAGCCCCTCCCATGGATCTTCGCCAGTGCGCTGACATGGCATCATCGAAGCCATGAGCATATGATGCGTGTGATGAGTGTGGTGCATGTGGCAAGACGGCGGCCGAATCTCCCACCAATGAGCGCTGCGGCCGTTGCTGCCATTGCTGCAGCCGTGGCTCCTGCATTGCCTGCTGTCCTCGCACCTCCCTCTCTGGCGCCACTCCCACGCTCTCCATGTGTCCGTACATATCCGTCATGCTGCCGCCCATGCGACCATTCAGTCGCCCACCCACCTGACCAGTCCTCCCACCCCCCACGTCGCTGTCCGCGTCAGCAAAGCGCAAGCCCGCGTCAGCACAGCGCAAGTCCGCGTCAGCATGGCACTGCACGTGAGCCGCGTCCCTGCTGCTGCTGCCACCGCCGCCCAGCGCCACGTCAGCAGCGGGGGGGCTGTCGAGCGCGTCTAGGAACGCGAGGGAGAGCTTGAGAGAGGCGAGGTGCCTGTGCGCCGCGGGGGCGCGGGGAGGCGACGGGGGAAGCTCCAGCGCGTGCCTGCGCGCGCCTGGGGAGAGCGGCGGGGAGGGGGACAGGTGTATCCCCGCTATTGCGGGCCCGTCTGTCGAGACGGACTTAGCCTTTGTGAAACGCCAGGGCGCGCGCGGCGTTGCAGCTGCATCTTCCGCGGCGCCAGCAGCGGCGCAAGGGGACGCGCAGCTCGCGGGGTTTCTGGGGGGAGAGCGGGGAGGCGGACGGCGGAAGGCGGTAGGGGAATGTGCTGGCGCGGGAACGCACGGGCGGAGCGCTCCAGGGGAGGAAAGCAGGGGAATCTCTCTGCTGCGCTCATCGTCCGCTTCCTCCCCCTCCCCCTTCCTGCCGCTTCCGCTGCCACCGCGGCTGGTACTCCCGCTGCCGCCCTGCCCGCCCCACCTGCCGCTGCCGCTTTTGAGCAGCTGCCAGCGCTCGCGCGGCGTGAGGAGCGCGGGCGACGCGAGCGACGGCGCGGGATCCAGGTGGTGGCTGCTCGCCGTCTTGAGTAGCCGCCTCCCCCGCTCGCCCCCCCTTTCCGCCGCCGCGTCATGCCCGCTCCCATACACCTGCTGCTGCTGCTGCTGCTGCTGAGAATGATGATTTGTCGATTCCACCTGCACCGCGAGCCCCGCGCTACCCCGCCGTAGCTGCAGCCCTGCTCCTCGCGCCTGCCGCGCATACCGGTCCGCCGCCGCGCCCGCAGCAGCGCACGGTCCCGCTCCACCAATCACTCTCTCCGCAGATCCCTCGATCCTCTTAAAGCCCTCGACTCCCCCATTGAACGCCGTCGCCGCCGTCTCGTCCCCCATGGAATGCCCGTCCCGTCGCTGGTTGGAATCCCCACGGGTCCCCAAGCCCGTTGGGCCAGAAGCTACGGGAGTACCGCCGTTGCTCTCCTCCCCCGCGCCCCGCGGAAGCACGTCGAACGTCCGCGACTTGCGCGGACCGCCCAGAAACCGGTTTTTTCGCGCCTCGCCGCCGCTGCCGGTGCCGCGGGGTTCATTCAGCGCGTTTCTGTAACGCGTTTCGATCGCGCCCCGGCGCTCCGATTCTTCTGCGGCTACTAATGAGTCCTCCCTTTGCCCGACCCGCATCACGCCGCTGCCGCGATCGACGGGAAAGTGCGACACGGCGTGGCTCGTGCCACCCGCTACGGGCTGTGCTAAAGGCGCATCGAAAAGCGAGAGGGCGCCGTTGTCGCTGAGAGCGTTTGGCGGCGAGCTCGCTTCGTCCAACGGATCGAACGCGCGAATAGCGCCGCTGCTAATAATTCCGCGGCTGCTATCGCTGCTGCCACCGCCGCCGCCGCTGCCACTGCGACGCGTGGGAATAGGTTTCGCTCCGAAGGAGGAGAGCGCGGAACGGGGAGAATACCCCCTAGAGGAAGCGGACGGCGTGGGGGAGCTCTCCGGAGAAAGCGGTTCCGCGGAGTCGGCCGCCGCCGTAACCACCGCGGCCGGCCGCGAGGCGGAGTCGCGAGGCGGCGTCGGCAATCCCAAGGCGGGTAACAATCCCGAGCCGGAGGATGACGAAGCGGAGCCGTGCCGGCGGTGGAAGCGGGGATGGGTGCTGCTTAGCCGTTGGGACGGGGCTGCTAGGGGCGGGGAGGGGGTGGCGGCGGGATGGTGAAAAGAGAACCCGCCCTTCCCCTCGAGTCCTGACGACGACGACGATGCGCGCTTCAGCCGCCGCGCTTCCGCCAATGCCGCTGTGGCGGTGACGACGGCGAACGACGAGGCGGCGGAAGGGGGCTCCTGCGCGAGCGGCGGGAGGTGGCGCATCGAGCGCCTGCGCGCGGAGGCGGAAGAAACGCCGGCCGGGGAGGCGGAAGAGGTGGGGGGATTGGATGGCCCGCCGGTCCAGCGACAGCTTCCGCCGAGCCGCTCACTCTCCGCAGTCAGCGCGGAACTACCACGTGGCGAGCTCCCGAGGGATCTTATCCCCCGTCCGTGAGGACTCTGCGGGGCGCTTTGGAAGGGGCTACTAGGCTGGTATGGCTCGAGGGATGGGCTAATTGTTGTTTTTTGAGGATTCTCGAAAAGAAAAGGGGTAAGGTCATGGCGCTCGGATGGCGGGCTGGGAGGCGGCGAGGGGAAAACGCAGTGATAGGAGGGGGAGGAGGGGCACGGGGGGGAGGCACTCGTGGTGAATGCGGGAGACAGAGGGTCAGCAGCCGTCGAGCCGAAGCTCTCAAAAGACGACCGCGACGCGCCGTCGGTCACGGTGAAGTCAATACTCCTCGAGGGGAGCGGCGGTACGATGAGCGGATTAGGGTGGTTGAGTTGAAGCGGGTGCGGGGAGAGTGACGAGAGGAAGGAGCTGAATTGCGGAGAGCCGACAGGAGACGAGAGAGACGTGGGGAACGCGACCGCGGCACTAGGAGGGCTTCTGTGACTGTTGCTGCTGCTGCTCGCGCGAGGAACGGCGACAGGCGACGACGACCCAGAAGCTGCGGGAGAGGACAACGCGGATGGCGCACGAGAGGAGGGGTCGTAAGCGGCAGGCTCGACGAGACAGGCGCCAGAGTCTGAGATTGGCCTGCTGACGCGCCACGATTCGAACGAAGGCTCGTTGAAGCTTCTACGGCGCGACCGGCCAGCTGGAGGTCTGTAATCAGGCGCTGCGAACTGGAGCTTGGCGCCGCACTCTGAGGAATCGTTGCTGTGAATCATGTCCGCTCGCGGCGCTAAAAGCATCCCCATTCCGGGAGACAGCTGCTGCTCTTGCTGTGGTTGACATCACGCTGGGTCACAGAGCCCTTTCCGTCAATCACGGCTAGCCGAAAGAGGGATTGAATCAAGTTCGGTATCGGCGAATGTCCACATGGTCAGATTGGTTCGTTCCACATCTGTTGCGTTCCTGTGTGTTCGGACGAGGTTCGGCATGTCGTCATTTGACGTCGGAATTTTCTGAACATGCTCCAAGGTCTCGATGGGTTGAATCGCAAGCTTGGCAGGAAATATGTTGCTCGTTTCCATGGCTAGATAAGGCGTTTCAGCAGTGCTACTGTAAGTTGGCGCGATTGACGGAGTGGTTCTACAGAAGGATGGCGATGCTGGGGGGGAAGAAAAGCTGAATGCTGCCAAGAGGTGGTTAGATACTGGGGAGGGGAATGATCCAGCTGGGTGGGATGATCACACACAGGATCACACATTTTATTCGCATCTATACGGTGCAGTTTGGTACCAGGTGGTCTAAATCGGCGGAAGCTGATTATCGTTCTTGACCCCGAGTTAACGTACTGGACCGCGCTAGACGAGCCCCGAACTCAGAAGCAAGTTAGCTCATCAGAAAAGGAAGGGACCGTTTCAATGACTGATTGCTGCGCATCCCCCGTGCGGCACAGTAGAGAAATCTGCCAGTTGGACGTGGTCACTGCTCACTGGTTGGATTGTGGGACGGGCAGGGGAGGTGAGGGGAAGGGGAGGGCATGGGGGAGGGGAGGGCACGAGAGGGGGAAGGGAGGGGAGAAGGCGGGAGCGATTGGTGCGTGCGTGCGGTCGGATGGAGTGGATGAATGGGTGAGATCAAGCGGACCGACAGCCGCCGCGAGGCGAAATCACGGCAGCAGGGAGGGCAACTTCCGTGCCGACTAGACAAAAGGGCGGGAGCATCTTGTACAGGTTTCGAGGGTATATGTAACTATAGCTACTGGGGCTAGGGAGACGAGATCATTATCTCATTAGCCTAGTTAGGAATAATGCCTGTCACATAATGCTCCACCACTCCATCTGAGAAATAGTGTTCGATGTTGAAGGGAAGCCAGGGTAAAGTGCATTGAAAATCAGGCAACCTAGAAAACATTATTTGAGAACCCCGACATTTCGTGCTGGCCAAATGGTACAGTTCACTGAAATCTTTTCCTCCACCCGTGGTCTTTCTGTTTCTTCCCCATCGATAACAGCCTCACACATGTCGATGAAACCTCTGGAGTGAGCCCGTGGTGGTGGGAAAAGGGCAAGGCACTGAACCAATCAGGGTACGCCTCCTACGCACTGGATACACGAAAGCTGCCCAAACCCAGCATGAAAAATGCTGCAGCACCACGCACGCCGCCAACGCAGACAAGTCAACTCACCTCACGTTGAACATGAGGTGAACAGTCGCAGTCAAGCACACTGGTCCGTTGGAGTGTTTCGCACTCGTTACGACGATCCAGTGAGTGTATTCGTCCACCAATAAATGGCCGAGGAACTGATGAAGTTTCCTTGTTGCGGTGCGGGCATTAATGAGGGCCGTAATACACCTGGTCTGCGGTATATTCGTCGCGTAAAAGTGGTAGCAGGATTTTGGATTATCTGGCCGTGATGAAGATTAATGCTCAAAATTTGGGTCGTTATTTTCACCACCAAATATCTGTCCAACATGGAAAGTTCTGAGAGTACCCTGCAAAAGGAACACTTTGCTCTTTATCGCATTGCTGAGTTTCGAGTGTCAGCTAAGAGGAAGCATCGACGGTGGCGATTGGCCGAGAAAATCCTAATGAAGAAGTCGTGATTTGTGTCTCGCTACTGAGCACATCCCGTTCATGGCGCCAGCCAAAATATCAAAGAAAGGGCCCGCGATTTCTCCAACTTGGTTCGGTCAACTGTGTACAGTGATTTTTGGCCGCCCAACAAGTTCCGCACAGCAAGCCGACAAACAGGTAAAAATACCGCCGGTGAATTTACCGCAGACCAGGTGTACATGTGCAACTCGAAGCTTCGTCTGGAATTGCTCAGGTTGGCATGGCAGCTCTACGCTACCTTCCTCAAGAGCTGCCTCACGCCCACTGTACGGTCAGTACTCTTTCTACTCGATTTAGCTCCACATACGGTAAATAATTAACATTGTACTTCCACATTGCTACTGAAAAAAAAAATGTTCCAATACCACTTCCATTTTGGTCTATGCCTCTGCTTAACACCAGTATCACTCAAACGATATTGCCAGAAACCAGCCACACTGAACTTGACTGACTTAGAAACAACCCACCCATAAGAAAGTGAACAAACACAATTCACCAGTTTTACACGTCCACAGTAAGCGCCACAACATGCATCCGTATAGAAACATCTGACGAGGATTCATTCATCACAATCGTTGAATCCAGGGGTGCTGCAGCACCTGGTGCAGATCTATGCGCCTCCCAGGGTCCTTCTCCAGCATGCGCCTTAGCAGGTCCACCGCTGGAGGCGACAGCTGCACCCACCACACACCCTCCTGCACCTCACCCTCCACCCCGGTGACTCCATCACCACCACTCCCATCACTCCCACTCCCATTTGCCCCACTGGTGCCTTCTCCAGGCGCATTGGGAACTGCTGGTGATACCGACTCCGTACCCAACACTCCTGCCTCTGACACAGCCACTTGCCCTGCCATTGATACCTCATACCCATCTGTGCTCTGCCCTTCCCCTTCCCCATACTTCCCCTCCACCCTTCCTGTGACTGCCTCTGCTGCTGCAGCAGCAGCTGAAGTGGCGACAGGAGACGGGGACTGACTGAAAGAGGGAGAGCACTGAGAGGACGCAGAACCAGGTGAAGACGCAGCGGACGATGGCGCCGACACCACACCCTCCCCTGACAGCCCTGCACCGTGCAGCTGTGCACCGGGCGGCACAGCTCCGGGCAGTAGCAGCGACTGCCCATGCGGCTGTGAGTCACTGGTAGGTGCAGAGAGAAGGGAGGCGGGGTCGTTGAGGATGGAGGAGGAGAGGGCGGCGGGGGAGGAGGCGTGGAAGGGGAGGCGGGAGGAGAGCAGGAGGTGCAGTAACACCCCGAGGCTCCACACGTCTGCTGGCGGGCCGTACCCCCCCTGGATCATCTCCGGTGCCCTGTATGCCGGTGCTCCCACTGCCTCCGTGTGCAGGCGACCTGATGAATCATGCATGTAGACACAGAGAGAGAGAGAGAGAGTGTGTGTTGAGGCCAGGGACGGTGGATGAGAGCGCGTGCATCATGACATTACAGGTTTGACTGCAGACAGCAAGCGGCGTCTGGAATGGCGGGAATGGATGCAAAAAAAACACTCTCACCACATTGCACCCACTCAACTTACCAGGTTCAAAGAAGGTGGCATGTTGAAAGCCAGATAACCGCACATCCACAGGGGATCCCTCCTGCCCCATCAGCAGCACAGCCTCCGCACTCACTCCCCGGTGCACCACCCCCATCTCATGGCACGCCGCCAGACCTGCCGCCACCTGCCGAACCACAGCTGCGGCGTCAGGCTCGGAGAAGGCCCGGCAGGAAGCGAGGCGATCGGCAAGGTTGCCTCCGGGACAGTGCTCCAATACCATGTGGATGGCCTGGTGTGAAGTAGAGAGAACGTGGGGGATACGGGGGAGGGGGGGAGGAAACGGGGAAGGGGATGGGTAAGGGGTCCCTGAGTCAAGTGAATAGAGAGGCTGCCTCGGGGAACGTGCTCCAATACCATGTGGATGACCCGGTGGTGGGAGGGAAAGAAGGGGGATTTTGGGTTGACTCAATGGAGAGCAACTGCCTGTTCTCCCCCACCCACCTGCTCCCCTCAACCTCACCTGCTCTCACCAAAAGCCCACCTGCTCCCCCCCCAACCCACGTGGCCCCTCCACCCACCTGCTCCCCTCAACCTCACCTGCGTGTCCTCAAATGCTCGCAGCATGGTGACCACATGCGGCGCCCCCCGCACCATCTCCAGCATGGCCACCTTGCGCCCCACCGCCTCCACCGCTGCTGCGCTTCTGAGAGCCGCCTTGCACAGCGTGCGGCACCAGTACTGCCTCCCCGTCCTCCTGCACACGCACGCCCGCTCCTCCACCCCCACTGCCCTTGCTCCAGGTGCCACCGCTGCTGCTGCTGCTGCTGCCGCTGCTCCCTCTGCTCCATCTGCTTGCCCATCCATGCTGTAGGCCGCATGCACATATGCATACGGCCGCCGCAGCACATACCGCCTTGCACTCTCCACTCCTGGCTCCTCCTCTTCCTCCTCTTCCTCCTCTTCCTCCTCCTCCTCCTCCTCCTCCTGCTGCTGCTTCTGCTGCTCCTGCTGTTGCTGCTGCTGACGCTCTTTGTGCTGCGATTGCTGCTGCTCCTGTTCCCGTAACAGGCTCCCGCTCTCACCCTGCCTTTCTTTTGGCCGTGCGTTCCCTGCCACCTGAATTTGACCGCTGCAAACGTTGCCACTGTTTCCGCTGCTGCCAATGTTGCCACTGTTGCCGCTGTTACTGCTGCTACTTGCCTCAATAAAGCGGGAACAGGAGGAGGGAGACGAGGAGGAAGAGGAAGGGGAGGAGGAAGGGGAGTATGAAGTGGAAGAAGCCGGACTAGGTACCAACTCCTCCTCCCCACAGGAACTCTCACCAGCCTTCACCCCGCCACCCCTCCTCCCACCACCCTTGGTCTCACCGGCCTTCCTCTGCTGCACACCACTTAGCCGACTGCCACCATGCTTCGCACGGCCACCATCACGAGCCCTCACGAAAGCACTCACCTGCCCTGCGCTCACCTGCCCTGCGCTCACCTGCCCTGCACTGGCCGCAGCAGAGGAGCAGAGGGCAGAGGGCGGGGAGAGGGAGCGGCGACCCGCCCCCTGAGAGCGAGCGACAGCAGGAAAAGAGCCTGAGAGGGAATGCTGCTCGTTGCAAGGGACCGAACCTTCCTTGCTGAACCGGACCACTCGTTTCATTGGCTCACTGAACCCGCCCACCCTCCCCCGAGCCTCAGCAGCAGGCTCGGTAGCAGATGCTGGTGCAGGCTCGGTGAGTGTGGCTGGTTCGGTAACGGCAGGTGGAGCTAGGTATGGGGTGGCTGGTCGTCGGAGGAAGGAAGAGTTGCTGCGAGTCGCCTCAGAAGCGACACTGCGAGCTTCAGGTGCCGTTTCAGGTGCCGCTTCAGGTGTCCCCTCAGGTGTTTCATCAGGTGCCGCAGGTGAGGGCAGCACTGGGGATGAATTTTGAGACGCAGCAGCCTCAACAGGAGTAGCAGAAGGCAGCATTGGAGATTGACTTGTGGGGGCAGGCGACGCAAAGGCGAGAGAAGAGGAGGAGGAGGAGGAGGAGAGAATAGAGGAGGAGGAGGGGATGGAAGAGGAGGAGGGAAAGGAGGAAAGGGAGGGGATAGAGGAGAGGGAGGAGATGGAGGGGGATGAGGAGGAGGGAGAGGGCACGATAATGGTCGGAGGGGCTTTCCAGGAATGTGGGATCTGCACTTTCCGATTCACATACTCCCTGCTCCCTGCTGCTGCCTCTGCCATCCCTCCCAACCCTGCTGCACCCCTTGCAACCCCTGCACCTGCTGCACCTGCAGCTGCTGCGTCTGCCGCTAATGCTGAAACAGAAACGACTCCTGAAGCGGACACGGAGGAAGGCACAGCACCCCACGGCTCGTCTCGCTCGCCTATGCGCGCCAGCCCGCGCTCCTGCGCGCTGCCGCCCTTCATCAGCCTGCGCCCGCGCGAGCCCCCCCCAGCAGCAGCAGCACCTGACTTGCCTGCATCCACGGAACGGCTCGACGGAAAGCGACAGCTGGCAACACCGCCAGCGCTGCTGCTGGCAGCAGCAGCAGCATCGCCATCCAATGTAACGCCAGGCGAAACGCTTTCTGTGCCTGCAGCTGCAGCTGTGCCTGCGCCTGCGCCTGCGCCTGCGACTGTGGCTGTGCCGCCACTGCCTCGCGCGCGGGGGGACGGCGCCTGCTGACCGCACTCGAAGCCCACTCGAGGGGACGGCGCCCTCTGCGTTGACTGGGGTGACTCGTGGACGGCTGTGGGGGAGGGGGCGCGCTTGAGAGAGGTTTTGGAGAGGCCGCGCGTGAGGGGCGAGGCGGAAGGGAGCGAGGAGGAGAGGGGGCCGGAGAATGAGGAGAGAGGTCCGGAGAATGGGGAGGAGGTGAGAGGGCCGGAGAAGGGGGAGGAGGAAAGAGGGCCGGAGAAGGAGGAATGGGGAGGAGAGGGGCCAGGTGAGAGCAGTGGAGGCGAGACAGGAGCGGGTGGCGGGTGCGACAGGGGCGCATTGCTAGACGCCTCATACGGCGGGTGCAAGAGCGGCAGCGGGCTGGAAAAGCTCTGCTTCACCGCTGTATGCGCGTGTGAGTGTGAGTGTGAGTGTGAGTGGGAGTGGGAGTGCGACGACCTCTCGTCCCTGCCTGCACTACGTGCAACACCATGGGCGACATCAGGCGAGAAGACGACCGATCGCCGGCCAATCCGCTGCTGCCGCTGCCATGCCTCCCCACGCTGTTCCCTCCCCTCCCTCCCCTCCATCCCCTCCCTGTTCGCCACCGCCTCACGACCCACTCTGCCCCACAACCCCTTGCCAGACCCGCTAGTGGCGGGTGACCCCGCGCCCGCCACCCACGACGCGCTCTTACTCACCTCCCTGATCGCGCCTCGCCGCTGCCTCCCCCTCGTCCCCCCTCCGCCACCGCCCGCGCCTCTACCGCCGCCCTCTCCCCCGCTGCCTCCGCTGCTGCTGTCCCTGCCGTCGCCGCCGCCGCCGCGGCCGCGAATGGCGCTGAGATCGAAGCTTCGGCTCACGGGAATGCGGCCAGACTGCGGCTCGCCGGTATAGCTGCTGCTGCTGATGGCGCCGCTGCTGGCGCTGCTCGTGATTCCGCCGCCAGCACTGGTACCGCCGCCGCTGCTGCTCCTGTTCTTCTCCACACTGAAAATGCTGCTCCCGCCTCCGCTTCCGCTTCCGCTTGCGCCGCCGCTGGTGCAGCGCGGGCTGCCGGCGGAAACAGGCGGGCTGATAGGGATGCGCGCGAGGGAAACACCACCGGGGAGGAGTGCGCGGGGGGAGGGGGAGGCGGAGGGGGAAGCAGGCGAGGGGGAGGAGGCGGAGGGGGAGAGCGAGACTAAGAGATTGCGCGCAGCGTCTGGCTTCTGTGCGGGCCTTCCCCGCGCGCCAAAGACCGTGACCCCCAATGGTGCGGACGACCGCGGGGACAGGGGCGGCATGCCGCTGCGCCTCTGCGCCTGCCCTTCCCCGTGCCGCCACGCCTGCACCGCCTCCGCTCCGCCTGTTGCGCCCAGATTTCCGCCTTCCGCGCCCAGCTCTCCGCCTGTTGCGACCAAAGTTCCGCCTGCAGCGCCCAACCCTCCGCCTGTTGCGCCGGTAAAGGCGGCCGCGGCGCAAGCCGCGGCGGAAATGTGGTTCTGGGATTGCGCCAGACCAACATCCTCACCCCCCACTTCTCCCGCTCCCCCCGCTTCCCCTGCCGCTCCGCCTTCTCCCCCGCTTCCGCGCTTCTGCGACAGCAGCTGAATGTGCGCGAGGGAGAGCGGGGGGGAGTTTGTGCCAGCGTACAAAGCGAGCGGCGGGGGAAGGGACGCGGAAGGGGAAGGCGAGGGGGAGGAGGAGGTGGACGAGACGCAGTGGGGAGACAACGGGATGTCTAGGCGGGAAAACGTTTGCACGCGGGATGGGGCTGGAACGGGCGTGGCAGTAGCGGGGGGAGGGCCGGGCGCGGGAGTGAGCGCATGAGGGGCGAAAGTAAAGGGGGATACGGAGAGCGACCCGCTGCGGCTTCGGATGCGCAGATACGCCTCGCGCCGGCTCCGCGCGTCCTCCAGCAGCGCCTGTACGTGGCTGCGAGGGGGAACCTTCCCCGCGCCCGCGCCCGCGCCCGCGCCTGCGCCTGCGTCTGCGCCCGCGCCTGCGACCTCACCCCCAAGTCCCCCGATTCTTCCCGCCTGCCCCTCGTCGCATTCCCCTGCGCTTCCCCAGCCCCCCCTTCGGCTACTAACTGCCTGAATCCCGCCGCTATGGTTGGCGAAATCAACGGCCTTTTCCCCCTCCGCGTTCGCCCTGCGCGCGCCAGGCAGCGCGTCCGCGCAAGACTCCACGGCAGCGGGCCTCCCGCAATCTGCGCCGACCGCGCGCGCGTTGCGCGTAGCTTGTCCGCCGACCAGCCCCCGCGCGTGCGCGTGCCTGGCCATGATTGGCATGATGGCGAGCGCGGTAGCGGCTGCTGACTTGGCATCTGTAACAGGCGCCGCAATGGGGACGGCGGAAGACGACGTGGATGAAGTGCGGGTGGGGGAAGAGTCGGAAGAGGGGGAGCCGGGGGACCCCGCGAGGGAAAGGGGGAAGGTGGCGGAGTGCGGGGGGGCGGAAGGGCTGGCGGGAGGCGAAGCGGCGGACGAGAGAGGGAACACTGATGAGAACGCAGCGGAAGCCGCGGACCCTGCGGAAGCAACCTTATCCGATGGACCGGCGGACGGAGGAGATTTGACATTGCCTCCGACTTGCTGTCTCACGTTCTCGCCGCGTCCGCTCTGCGCCTTAGCGCGCCATTGCGACAGCACCGCCAACGCGCGGCTTACCTCCTCCGGCGGATCTACGGGCAGAGCTGCATCCGCGAAACTTCCTAACGCTCCCGTCTTGTCAGAAAAAGTCTGGATGGCATTTCGGCCTGCGATCCCACCGGAGGAGATTTTATCCGCAGATGGAAAAGCAAGCTCGATATTCGCTACCGCTGTGTCATCGTCGGAGCGCGCCTGGTGCGCGGCGCCGCAGAAAAACGACGCGGCGTCTTCGAGGTTTTCCAGGCTGGATCGCTGCTGAGCCATGTACGCGACAAAGGCATGCTCCGGTGACCCGTTACTAGGCGCGCCGAACGGCTGCGCCTTCGCGGCGGCGCGCGAGGGCTCTACAAATGACGCCTGCCGCCGAAACTCGCGCGCGCGGAAGGATCCCGACAGTCCGCCGTCCGCCGGATTCCCCGGAGCGGCATCTGCAGCATTCCGCCATTTGGTGATTCTCCCCACCCTGCTATGATTCCACGTCGTCGTCGCCCCCGTCGCCACCGCCCCCGCTGCCGCCCCCGCTGCCGCTCCCGCCACGGTCCCTTGCGCCATGATACCCTCTTTCCGCTCCGCCGAGCCCTCCGGGGCGCCCTCCGCCGATCCTTCCGCAAATTTCCTCGTGTTGTAGGAAGAACCGTTGAACGAGGAGAATCTGGTAATCCTATTCGCCGAATGTCCTTCTTCGCGCGGCCTCCCCGCGCCGTACCGAGGAACCCTGTCCCCCTCGACGGACTCCTCATCCGACGACGTTCCGAGCTCCTTCTCCCACGATTCCAACAGCGCCATTAGATCCACTCGTCGCGCTGCGCCGCCCGCGCCAGAAGCGGCGCGACCGCTCGGCGCGCTGCGGCCGGCCGCCGCCATGGCGGACCCAGTATCGAAGCTAGCTGTTCGCGGTATCGCAGCCAAGAGCGGTGCGGACGGGCGATGGGAGGGGATCGGCGCGGGTTCCGCCTCCCCAGCCTGCCGCGAAAGTTGCCTCATGAGCGGCTTAGAGGGCAGCGCAGAGGATGCGCGCGCGACTACGGCGGAAGGGGGAGCGGAATCTGTTCTGGCCGCCGGGCACGACTCATGCAAGCCGCAACCGCAAGGGCAAGGAGGCAGGAGATTCTCGATAAACGCGACGTAGCCTGGTTGAAGACAGTTCACTGGTTGATGATATTCCATGGCTCAGTGAGACTGGCGAAACGGACGCATACGCGCTCGACGGACCAGATCTAGCATGACTCTTGAGGCTCCTCGAGACGAGTCTCTCTACCCGCGATTTTGAGGCAACGCATTGTACAGTATATATTACGCGCGGATCTGACAAACATGCAGGACGTGCCGCAGATGAAGGTGGAAGGACACGCGTATGCTACAAGACCATTCCCTCGCCATGCCTTGTATGCATCACAGATTTGTGGCGTGGCAAACAACGGACTTGCTCTCAAGGAGAGTCAAGAGACTATGGTTGCTGTCGTAATACACGGAGGACAATAAGCAACAAGCAAGCTGCTTCAGCTGAGCCAGGCAGCATTTGGTCGCACGCACACTCCACGATGGCAGAGGTTGAACAAACATTCTCAATGAATGACCGTTGACCGGCCGTGTGCGACCGCTTACGACCTAGACAACGTCGCACAAAGAAAGTTTGGTACAGTTGGGCGGCAAATTTTGAGTATCGGAGATAATGGCCGATTCTTCTGCGGCAGCAGAGCAACATTGACCGAGTTTCCCTCCCTCCCTTGCTGCTGCTTACTTTCCACGAGATACTTGAAGGGTTTCGTACTGTACTGTACAAAAATCCTATGGTCATATGAGTCGCAGCAGGCACAACGATTGTCGCAGGCTTCCTATCCAAGTACTGTTCGGTAGGTCCCACACAGAATAAGGGTGTAGGACTGACGTCTAGCTTCTTTACGCTGTCGGGAAATGGCTCGTCGACGGGCAGAAGAAAGTTCAGCGAAACCCGGCGACGCGCAGATTGAGATCTTCCACGTTCGCAAGTGTGCCAACTGTTATCATGATAGTAAGCGCTCTCAGGTATAATCACCAGCAGAAACACGGTTTCGCGATATAGTGTAAAGCTACTCTGGCTCGCTTTTGTATATAGTCACTCAAAAATAATTCCAGCACTTGCGAAAAAAACCAAAACCCAAACGGAAAAGAATGCGACTCGGGAGGCATCAACCCTCAAAACAATGTTTAGGATTGACATTTCCCGAAAATGCGTCCAGGTACCCTCGTGGAATATTTATTTCTGCCATGCCCTGATAGTTCTCGGTAGCGTCGTCTAGTGCTTTAGGAGCGTTGTTTAGCGGTCGGTTGCGCTACCGAGCACTACCAATTGATTTATATGGGCTTACTACCTAAATTTCCGAACTTATATCCAAGTCGGGAGGTAAACTGGATGGTTCTGTTTTGGTCCCTTTCAATTGAGTTCGACCGGCATGAGAAATGTGACTATAAAGCGACGAAAAATCAACGTTGAGAAAGTCCAGGTTGATTACACCTGAGAACGCGCTCAGGCAAAATCTGAGTATCGGAGATAATGGCCGGCGGAAGAATGATGCACAAGTCTGCACTTAGCAGCCTTGCATTCAAATGGAATCATCTTTTGTCCTGTTCTGCCTTTCCACAATTCCACCCTGTGCTGTTGCTCTGACCTAGTTTACCAACCTCAGACCTGGTCTGACAGACCGCCTGCCAGTCCTCGGCTGTGCCTAAGGGCATGTTACACTGGCCGTCCGGACGATTGTGTGGTTACGGAACTCGTCAAATCTCGACAGTGAGTTCGTCAGGTTCTAAACGACGTCGCAATCTTCGTGTTGCCTCCTTATGACATCGCATCGGTCGCAAGACGACAATGCGACGTCGTAATGTTCACACACGTCCGGACAGCTGTCCGGACTTTCAGTGACTTTCAAAAATATAGCACGCCCTAAACAATTCTTGTCACACCCCTCACACCGGGTAGGTGTTAGGCAATTACAAACCCCTTGTCAGCGAGTGTCGGTGTGAGGCAATTTTGCCCTAGGGTGTGAGCAAACACTATTTTCTGTTTTCTCCAATATTCAAATTTCAAGAGCAAAGATCTTGCTGTGTTTTCTCCCACGCCAACCGTAGTGCAGTTGTTTCGGCATACCCTGCCAAGATTCGAAATGCTGCCAGTGCTGCCCTAATTCGCGGCGCCTTCACACTGGTTGCGGAAAAATCATAAATTGGCACAAGAACATTGACCAGGTCTCGATCCTCGATATTGGATGTCGCTCGATAATGACATTTACAAGAGAGTGCGCGGACGTAACAAAGGACTCAGCTAAAATATGAAGGAAGTGATGATTCAAGTGAAAGCCTGTAATATATAGGGAGAGCCCTAGCTAGGCAGGTGTTACGAGTGCAATTGAGTGACCGAACGAGAATTTCACTATCGAAGCAAGAGTACAATGAGCGGAGGCATGAGCGAAGAATATATGGCGAAACTACAGTGGTAACGGTAATTGACAAGTTGTCGTGCGACGGGCCTAGGACTGAGGTTGGGAAAAGTGTCGAAGCGGAGGCCCAGGGCGCGGGTTACCCGCCGAGCCGTGAGGTCGGGGTGTGATGTGCGAAGGTGGCGGGCGGATTGTCGATGCGAGGGTTGCCAGTGGTAACGGTGCTGACTGTGGTGCTACAGTGATGTACGCGTTGAGCAGGGATGCGAAGTAAGGAAAAGGAATTTTCCTTACACTACCCCCCCCCCCCCCCCCCCCCCCCTAAGGAGGTCCTCCTTACGAAAGTGCGTGTACATCCGTGAAATTTCGGCTGCGTAGATACTCGGTGAGGACGGGGTGGTTTTCGATTCTGTCCAGGGGAACCCAATTGTCTTCGGTGGATGTACGGTCCTTCCAGCGGAGTAAGATCTCGATCCTTCGGGCTCCTCGAGGGTCGCGAACTCTGTGACTCAGGATTTTCTCGCAGGTGATGATTGGTTTAGTTGATGGTCTTGTCATGCTAGCTGGGCGATTGCGTGGCAATTGGCTCGTGGACGGGACGTAAGGGCAAAGTAGGCTGACGTGGAATGAGGGGCTGACATACCAGAGTGCAAGCATGTGGTGGGCGGTGACGGGTGTAAGCATGTGGCTTATGCGAAATGGCCCGCAGTATCGGGGGCGGAGTTTCGAAGTGATAGGCAGTCGGAGGTTCTAAGTGTCAAGTAAAACTAAGTCGTCGGGCTGGTAAGTGACAGGTCTGCGGTGGCGGTCGACGTTGCGTTTAGCGATGATGTTCGATTTTTTTATTGCGTCAGCTGCCCGGGTCCGTGCCGCTTGTAATATTTCGGCGAACTATTGTGCTCGTGGTACTAGGTTGGCGGGGTTCGGGGTCATGGGTACTGTCGGGTCTTGTCCGTAGTTTAGGTAAAATGGTGACTGTTGGGTCGTGGCGGATGGCGAGTTGTTGTACGCGAATTCGATTAGTGGCAGTTGCTGTTCCCACGTGGTCGGGTCGTCACACGTGGCCCTGATGAGTTGTTCCATGGTCTGATTTGTCCGTTCCGTCTGTCCGTCGGTTTCGGGGTGGTATGATGAACTGAACTGCAGTCGCGTGCCGAACTGCTGCCACAGGTTCCGCCAGATTTTGCTGGTGAATTTCGTGTCGCGGTCGCTGATGATCGCGGCTGGTATCCCATGCAGTTGAACGACGGTGGAGATGAAGAGGCGTGCTGTTTCTTCGGCTGTGATTGATTTTTTGCAGGCTGCGAAATGTGCCATTTTCGTCAGTCGATCGACGACGACCAGGATCGTGTCGTTCCCACTCGCCTCGGTTGGTAACCCCGTGACGAAGTCCATTGTCACCTGCTGCCAAGCACGCTCTAGGGGTGGTATCGGCTGCAACTGTCCCGCCGGCCGCTGTCGTGATGATTTCATGAGCTGACAAGTGGGACACGATGTCAAACTCATATGCTATAGTCTGTGTAGCCTGTAGTGGGGTAGAGAATATGGGGTACAACACATATAGGTCTTCCTACTTATGCCCGCCTGCTTGCTAGATAATTCATTCCTCATTTCTCACATGGTATAGAGCAGGTTCCCTAGTGGGAACTTTTCCTAGGGCCCACCACTGATTATTTTTTTTTCCTGCCCTGAGATCGAGTCGCCCCTGACCGAGGCGCGCCCTGTGTGCCGCCCTCCCCTTAGCGACCCGTCGCGCCGCCCTTAGCGGCCCCCTCTCTCACGGCCCCTCGCGACCCCGTCGCCGCCCCCTGGCGGCCTGTCGCGCCGCCCTGAACGGCCCGTCGCGTCGCCCTAAACGGCCCCTTGCGGCCCCACCTCCACGGCCCCGTCGCCGCCCTCTCGCGGCCCCGTCGCCTCACTCTCGCGGCCCCGTCGCAGCCGTTCACGGCCCCGCCGCCGCCCTTAGCGGCCGCGTCGCCGCCCGTCGCGGACCTGCAGCCGCTCCTCGCGGCCTCGTCACCGCCCTCTCGCGGCCCCAGTGCCGCCCTCTCGCGGCCGCGTCGCCGCCCTCTAGCGGCCCCGTCGCCGTCCTCTCGCGGCCGCGTCGCCGCCCTCTAGCGGCCCCGTCGCGGCCCTCTCGCGGCCGCGTCGCCGCCCTCTAGCGGCCCCGTCGCCGCCCTCTCGCGGCCGCGTCGCCGCCGTCTAGCGGCCCCGTCGCCGCCCTCTTACGGCCTCGTCGCCGCCCTCTCGCGGCCTCGTTGACGCCCTCTGGCGGCCCCGTCACCCCCCCCCCCCCCCCCTTTCGGCCCCTCCTCGGCCTCTTTGCCGCCGAACAGCCGAGCCGCCGAGCCGCCGAACAGCCAAGCCGCCGAGCCGCCTGCAGCCGAGCCGCCGAGCCGCCGGAGCCACCGTCGAGCCGCCATTGCCACCGCAGCTGCAGCCCTGTTCCTACCGGTGCGCCCCGGCCCTAACCACCCGGACTGGTGAGAGCACTCCCTGCTAGACCACTGCTGTCATGGCTACCCCCAGTGTCCTTACCTTTGATGCTGAGGGTCGTGCTGTTGACTTCGAGGTCTGGGTCGATGACCTGAAGCTCTTCCTACAGTGCGATAGGGCAGACGGATTCTCCCTGTTTGATCTCACCTCTGGTGCCTCTCCTGCCCCGCCTGCTGATGCTGACAGCACTGCTCGCTCACAGTGGCCCACGCGCGATGCTGCTGCCCGTCTTGCTGTGCGTCGCCACTTACCGACCGCTGAGCGTGCACACTTAAGTCAGTACAAGATTGCTAAGACCTTGTGCGATGCTGTAGTTGCACGCTACTCTTCCCTTGCCACTGCTGCCCTTAGCCGCCTCATACTACCGTACCTGTTTCCTGACCTCGCCGCCTTTCCCACTGTCGCTGACCTCGTTACGCACCTTCGCACTTGTGACACCCGCTACCGCGCTGCGCTTCCTGCTGAGTTCTGCGCCAAGAACCCCCCCCCCCCCATGTACATCACCCTCTACTACATAGTCACCCGGCTCCCTGACTCCCTTCGCTCGGTCAGGGACCACTTCCTCTCTGTTTGCCCCACCACACTCACTGCTGACCACCTCGAGGAGCGCCTCCTGGCAGATGAGAAGAGTATAGTCGCTGTAGGAGCCTCTCGAGGTGACCCGCGTGCCCCTGTCTTTGAGGGGTGCTCCCCCTCCCCCCTCTTGCCCTCTGCTGCCTCTGCTGCTGCCGTCAACTTCGTTGGCACCGAGTCGGTCGGCGCTGCGTCTGCCTCTAGCGGGCGACGCCGCACTGGCAAGGGCAAGGGGGGCAAGGGCGCTGGAGGAACTGGCGGGGGCGGTGGAGGTGGAGGTGGAGGAGGCGGAGGGAGTGCGGGTGGTAGTGGGAGTGGTGGCGGGTGTGGGGGCTTCGGTGGCGGCAGTGGCGGCAGAGGCGGCGGCGGCGGTGGCGGAGGTGGCGGCGGAGGAGGTGGAGCTAGTCGGGGTGGCTCTGCGCAGCGGGGCGGCTTAGGTGCTGGTCAGCGCCAGCAGCAGCAGCGCACTCGTGAGACCCCGTCCCTCCAGCAGCTTCGTGAGTGGTACGCTGCGCGTCAGCGAGGTGGGGGTACTCGTCCCTGTACCTACGTCCTCCGTACCGACGACCACGCTGGTAAGCAGTGCGTGGGCTAGCACTCCACCCAGCGCTGCTTCGGCCGCCTGACGGACGCTTGGCGTCACCAGTTCCCTGACGCCACTGAGATCCCTCGCTGAGGAGAGCTGTCTAGGGCGGAGGTTGCTATCTTTGATCTTGACTATGATGCTATTCTTGCTGTCATGTATGCTGTGTCTACTAGTGATGATGAGGGTGACTGTTACCTGTGTGCTCCTTCTTTCGAGACCGTACCACCCTTACGCCGCTTAGTCGGCCGGTTGCGGTCTCCTTGGCGGACCCCTCTGGGGTCCTGTCCTTGCTCACTTCTCCACTGTCTTACCGTGTCCGGTAGCCCCCTCAGGCACCCTGTCAGGTCTCTACCTCCCCTCGTTGTCTACGAACCTGGTGAGCGGTGCTGATCTACAGGATGGGGGGGTTTACCAGTTCACTCCCGCGAGTCAGCGGGTGACCCACTGTACGTGTGCTCGGACGGGCCGACACTTGGCCACGTTTACCCGTCGGCCGGGGTCGAGCCTGTACACACTGACTACTGAGTCTTCTCCGGGTGCTGAGTCTGGTCAGGAAGCTGCGTCAAGGTAGGTGTTTGCTGCAGCGTCCAGGTCTGGTCCTGAGTTTGCTCCCTGCTCGTGTCGTCTCCTGTCCCACCAGACTCTCCTTTGGCACCATCGCCTTGGTCACCCCTCCCTGCCTCGTCTCCGAGGCATGGCCTCCCGTTTCCTTGTCTCTGGTCTCCCCCGGTCCCCCCCTCCCCTCCCTCCGGGGCCTGCCCCTACATGCATTCCCTGCATCGAGGGACGGCAGCGCGCAGCCCATCACTCCTCCGAGTTTCCTCCGACAGAGGCTCCCCTGCGGACTCTTCACATGGACGTGTGGGGCCCCGCCCGCGTCCGTAGCCAGGGTCACGAGCGTTACTTCCTGTTGCTGGTTGACGACTACTCGCGTTACACCACGGTCTTTGTCAACGGGAGTTGGGTATTGGCCCCGTCCTCGCTTGGGCGGAGCCGACTTCGTGGTCGGGTGTGAGGGGAGCAGCCGGCCTTTAGTAGTGGGTGAGTTGGTCGACGAGGAGGTCGACCTGCACGGGGGACCACTGCACGGGCGCTGACTTCAGGGTGGCGCCGACTTCAGGGAGGTCGACTTGGGTGTCGACCTGCGGAGGACGTCAACTTGGTGACGTCAACTTGGGGAAGCCGACTTCGGCAGTCGGCTAACGGACTGCTGGTCGACCTGTTAGTGGTCGACTGGACCTGGTGGTCGACGAAGGAGGGGCCGACGACTGTGCTGGTCGACGAGGAGCAGGTCTACCAGGAGTGCTGGTCGACGTGGAGCTGGTCGACCAGAGGGGATGTCGACCTGGAGGAGGTCGACTGATGGTGTCGTCGACCTGGTGAGGTCGACGTGGAGGTGGTCGTCGACTTGGGAGGTCGACGGGCACGTACGGGAGCTGCTGGTCGACGTGGTTGCCTGGTCGACCAGGTTACCTGGGTGACGAAGTGCTGCGGAGGAGTGCGACGGTCGCCCAGGCGAAGTTGGCGAGCCCGACCTCGGTGGTGGTATCCCGAGGTCGTCGTGGCGGATCAGAGGCAGTCGTCAGCTCGAGGTTGACGTGGTGTGTGCGCTGTGCAGGTGACAAGACTCTGCGCGCCAATCATCTGCGCACAACTGCGAAGCAGGGTGCACTGCTGTCCTGCGTGAGCAACGCTGTCACGCCGTCAACCTGCGACGTTGGCACGCCGTCGACCTTGCCTTGCTGGAGCGCGGTCGACGAAGTCGTGCTGGAATGCGGTCGACCAAGCTGCGCTGGCAGTTGCCCGACCTGAATGCTTGCTCTGATGTAGTCTTGCATTGCCAACTTCATTGTACCCTTTTGTTCTGAACTTTCTCCTAGTGAAACTCTTGCCAATTTTCCCCGTGAACTAGCAAGTAGTGTGTGCACAAGGAAAACGACTAAGAACTAACGAACGCAGAGATCACACGAGCACATGTGCCTAGCCCGTAGCCTAGCTCCCGTTGCTGCAGTTATCTCCGCATGGTGCGGTGAGCGTGGACGGCACACGACTTACCTTTCAGTCAGGTCGACGTAGACACCACTTACCTATTTCGTAGTTGCAGGCCGGCAACTGTGCTGTAGTCACTATGGTAGGAGCCGTAGGTGACGCGGGGGTGGTGGACACCCTAGAGGCACGGTTGGAGAACGCGAGGAGGAAGCACGAGGCCAATGAGTATGGCGACTTGCCCTGGCCGGTCGTCGAGGCTGGACTCCGCTCCATGTGGGCGACGGAGCACCCGTCTCGACCTGCCTCTCCTCGTCCGGTGAACAACGAAGGCGGCGTCGACGTGGGCGTCAACACCGGTGGTGGTCAAGTCGGCAGCAGTGCTGGAGGCACGTCGAGGCAAAGAGGTGTGATACACGCCGGTGAAGTCGGCGGCGTTCAGGCGCGAGGGATGCAGTCGTCGGCGGCTGCAGGCTCTTCGCGGGGTGACGTCGGAGGTCGACGGAGTGGGCTGTCGACGATGTCGGCGTCCCAGGTGACGGCGGGTGGGATTGCACCGAGCTACGGCTACTTCAAGTTTACGCCGGACAGGATCTCGGTCACCCCTCCGCTGGTCGGTCGACCCGACATACTCACCTGGAAGGAAGCCATCGAGCCCCAGCTGGAGATGGCCGGGCTGATCGGCTTCGCCCGAGGGACCGTGGCGACGCCGGAGGAGCACCACCCCGACCTGCGTGCGGAGTTTCGCGCCGTGCAGCTGTTGACCTTCACGGTCATCTCGCGATGCTGCTCGCCGGGCGTGCAGATCGCCTTGAAGTGGTGGCGGGAGTACATCGACGCTGGCCACCGGGCGTGACACTTCATTGAGTCGACGTACCAGGTCACCGACGACCTGTTCATCGCCCAGCTGGAGGGACAGCTGACGCAGCTGCGTATGGGCGACGAGGAGAGTGCGACCGACTATTGCAACCGAGCCAGGCGAATTCTCGCCACCATCAGGATGGCCGGCGCGCAGTATTCCACGGCGTCGTACATCACCCATGTCATGCAGGGACTGTCTAGCAGCTATAACCTGCTGAAGCGGCTGTCTATGGCGCCGAGCACAAGGGCGACGCTCAACGAGGACAACCTGACCTCGTATATCCTGCAGGACGAGGCGATGCAGGAGGCTGAGCGATCGCAGGAGCTCTTGGTGCAGGCCAACTTTGTCGCCCCGGTGAAGCAAGGAGGCCGACCAGGACAGCGCGGACAGCCTGGTGGCGGCGGGAGCGGTGGCTGGAAGTCGACCGAGGAGGTCGAGAAGAAGTCGACCAAGGACGGCGGTCGAGGAGGAGGAGGTCGACGTCGGGACTGCTGGATCTGCCACAGCCCTGATCATCTCTCCTTTGAGTGTCCTGACCGCAGTGACTCCGACGACGACAACAAGGGCGGCCGCGGGAGGTCTGGCAGCCGTCGTCCTCGTCGAGGAGGAAACAAGCCGCGCAAGGAGAACCAGTCGACGACATCGACCTCGGCGAAGGACGCCGACTCCGTTGTACGCGGCAAGGGGCGAGACGACAAGGTGGCGTCGTGCTCGCTGGTCGGCGTCGTGGAGCCGACCATCTCTCTGGCACCGGAGGCCGGAGAGGACTTCCAGGCGGTGGCGGCAGCTATGCAGGCGAACCCGGCGGTGGTCCTGCTCGACAGCGGTTGTTCCCACCACCTGATGGGAACGAAGGAAGCCTTCGTCGACCTGCAGCCGAGTGGCTCCATCAAGCACGTGCGCGGCTTTAATGGGGCGCTGCAGGACGTTCAGGGCCGTGGCACCGTCTCCCTGCAAGGAGAGGCCGTGAAGGAGGTGCTCATCCCCGACGTGCTGTACGTCCCGAGTGTGCGGGCCAACCTGCTGTCGGCCGGCCAGCTGAAGGAGCACGGCATGAAGCTGCAGGAGGACGACGACGGCATGCTGCTCGTCTCGGCAGCAGGGGAGGTGCTCGGGCGGGCGACGTACTCCGGGCGAGTCCTCTGCACCGACCTGCGTCCCTGCGCGACGAGGTCGACGCCGCCCACGACGGAGGTGGCGGCTCTGCGGGCGATCGTCTCGAAGACGAAGTCGACGCCGGACCGGATGCATGCGAGGCTTGCGCATGTCGGCATGGACACCATACGGAGCTCGGCGAAGAACGAGGTCGCCATTGGGCTGGACCTCAAGTCGGCGACGGACGCCGACTCCCCGTGTGTCTCGTGCGTCGGCGGGAAGCTGGCGCGACACACCTTCCCCGACCACGGCTCCGACGCCGACGACGTGCTGGCCGTCGTGCACATCGACCAGTGCGGGCCGTTTCGCGTGGCTGCCAAGGATGGCAGCCTGTACTTCTTGCTGCTGAAGGACCACAAGACCCGTTACGTGTGGGTGAAGCCGGTCGCCAAGAAGTCAGATGCTTTGTCGGCGTTCGTACAGTGGCTGGCGGTGGCTGAGCGGCAGACGAAGAAGTCGGTGTTGATGCTGCGCTCAGACAGGGGAGGGGAGGTCCTCAGGAAGCACTTCACCGACTTCGTGAACGGCAAGGGGATCGTCCACGACCTGACCTGCCCATACACCCCGCAGCAGAACGGCATGGCGGAGCGGGAGATGAGGACGGTGGTGGAGTCGGTGCGGACAATGCTGCTGCACATGGGTGTGCAGCACCACTGGTGGCACCTCGCTCTGCGGCAGGCCGTCTGGGTCCGCAACTGCCTTGAGAGGTCGACGCTGCCGCCGGGGACGACGCCGTACCAGCTGCTGACCAGGAAGAGGCCCGACTTGTCGCTGGCGCGGGTGTGGGGCTGCATGGCGCAGTTCCTTGTCCCTGAGCAACAGCGTGGTGGGAAGCTGCAGCCGAAGGCCAAATGGGGCCTGCACCTCGGCGTGTCGCCGGCAAGCAAGGGCTGGGAGCTCCTCGACGTCAACACCGACCGAGTGGTCACCACGTCGGACGTGGTGTTCTACGAGGAGATGTCGCTGACCGAGTGGAAGACGGAGCACGGGTCGGGGTCCGGCCGCT